CCTTCCACCGGCGGAAGACGACCCTGTGATCGGCTTCCAGAAGAAAGATCTGATCGGCCTCGATATGCCACACAACGACGCCCTTGTCGTCAGCATTCAAATCGCCCAGGCCATGGTCGACCGAAACCATGTGGACGAAGGCAGCGCAGCCAATATCCTGCAGTTGACTATCATCCAGCAGATGGGCTTGGAAGCAAAGATCAACAAATCAGCCAGGTCGCTGACTGGCTTCAATGGCGCAACGACGGTTACTGTGGGCACAATAGATCTCGACGTCTACTCCCCACCTGTAATCAGCTCACAAACATTCATAGTCATTGATGAAGTCTCACCCTACAATGGCATCCTGGGTAGACCATGGATTGGTAAGATCAACGCCATCACCTCTGCCACTCATCAGAAAATCCGCTACCCAATTCCTGGGGGCGGTGTCTGCCAAATCAACAGCGACCAGGCAATGGCGAGGAAATGCTCAGCTCAAGGGCTGAAGAAAAGCAAGCCAATACAGTTCCTCCCTGTGAATCAGGCAGATCTGGAGAGAGTAGAACAACCAGATCTCGTTCCTAGCAACCGAGCAAGCCAGAAGGGGAAGGGGATAGATATCCCCTTATAGCAATCAAAGCATCGGGACCAAGTCGAGGAAATCCGTCCGGAGGTCTCCCCTGAAGAAGGAGGGAAACCCGAAGAGGACGTCGAGCTAATACCCTTGGATCCTTACCAGCCAGACAAAAAAGCGCGGATCGGCTCGCGCCTAAGCCCAGACGAGAAGGTGGAGCTGACCACCTTTCTCTAGAACAACAAGGACATGTTCGCATGGTCACCGTCAGACATACCAGGCATCGACCCGAACATCATCTGCCATCGACTCCACGTCAACCCTGCCAGCAAGCCAGTGGCGCAGAAGAGATGCAACTTCGCTCCAGAGCGGGTCGCAATCATTGAAGCCGAGATCGACAAACTTCTAGCAGCCGGCTTCATTGAAGAGGTCTCCTACTCGGAG